GTGAAATAAGAGCTACCAGAGGAAACTGCAAGCTTAACTTTTTTAACACATGCCATAATAAAGGGAGACAAAGCTATGAAAAAACAACATATGTTTGTGAAACATGTATGCCCCCTATCAGCAGCCAATTAGTCATGTGATCAGGTTATTATGCACAACTTCTGGCCCAGTGAACAAAATATGACACAAACCCCTTGACACCAAAATCAATAGGGGTCATCTACTGGTCATGAACAATCACCATACTAAGTTTGAAGTTCTTAGGCCTAAGCGTTCTTTAGTTATTGATTGGACACCGTTTTTCCTTACAAGGCCAATGTGACCTTGACCTTTGACCCAAAAATCAATAGGGGTCGTCTGCTGGTCATGACCAATCACCATACCAAGTTTAAGTTTGAAGTTCCTAGGCCAAAGCATTCTTTAGTTATTGATCGGAAACCGTTTTTACTAACAAGGTCAATGTTACCTTGAACTTTGACCCCAAAGTCAATAGGTGCCAGCTGCTGGTCATGACCGATCACCATACCAAGTTTTAAGTTCCTAGGCCTAAGCGTTCTTTAGTTATTGATTGGACACCGCTTTTACTTACAAGGTTAATGTGACCTTGACCTTTAACCCCTTGACCCCAAAATCAATAGGGGTCATTTGCTGGTCATGACCAATCACCATACCAAGTTTTAAGTTCCTAGGCCTAAGCGTTCTTTAGTTATTGATTGGACACCGTTTTTACTTACAAGGTCAATGTGACCTTGACCTTTGACCCCTTGACTCCAAAATCAATAGGGGTCATCTGCTGGTCATGACCAATCACCATACCAAGTTTGAATGTCCTAGGCTTAAGCATTCTTTAGTTATTGATAGGAAACCGTTTTTACTAACAACGTCAATGTGACCTTGATCTTTGATCCCTTGACCCCAAAATCAATAGGGGTCATCTGCTTGTCATGACCAATTACCATACTAAGTTTGAAGTTCAAAGGCCTAAGTGTTCTTTAGTTATTGATCGAAAACCGGTTTACTTATAAGGTCAATGTGACCTTGGCCTTTGACCCCTTGATCCCAAAATCAATAGGGGTCATCTGCTGGTCATGACAAATCACACCAAGTTTGAAGTTCTTAGGCCAACGCGATCTTTAGTTATTGATCGGAAACCTTTTTGTATCTGGACCGACAGACCAACAGACAAATGCAAAGCAATCTTCTTTGAAGTTTGGGAATAATAATCAATTGTGATATAAATATATTAAATTTTCTGTATCAGTATCAAGAAAACACTCAAATGGTCAATATTTTTGCATCACATTATATGAATGTGGCCATGTCGTTAGAACTTATGACGACTTTAGTGTTCACTGCACTTCTCATGCTAATCTCTTTCACTGTATGAAGTTTCAATCAAATTCCTTCAATATTTTAATCCTCTCTCTGAACATTCAAAAACTAAGTAATGTAGAATTTTGGTTATTTGACACAGCACTTCTGCTCACTAGTTTCTACAACTGTATTTAGTTTGAGTGAGATATCATTGAAAAGATTTACTCCAGACAACCAATATTTTAAATGTTGATGTATTATAAGAGATGATAATTGTAAAATTAAGCTAGGAAGAATTATGGTTCTTTGAAAATGCACTTCCTTTCACTTGTATGTTTTCCCTGTGAAAATTTTAATCAAATTCCATCAACTCTTTTCCAGTATTTCTCTTGGCAAGCATAATTAAGTAATGTATTATAAAGGGAGATAATTAAAAAACAAAGGAATCCAGTTATAGTCCTTTGACACCTTGGCAAATTCGAGTCTGTACAACTGGGTGTAGTTTCTGTGATAGTTTGAACTTAGGGGAGATAATTAAAACATGAAGCAAGGTAGAGTTATGTTTCTTGAACACTGCACTTCCTCTCAAAAGTCTTTATCACTTTGTGAAGTCTACATAAAATTCCTTCAATACGTATCTAGTTATATTCATATTCAGAACAAGAGTGTGAAGGACGGATGTCTATCTAAGTTCACAATGTGTTTTTTTTTCTCTTTAATCACCTAAAATCTCAAAAACACCATAAGAAACATATTTTCCTCCCATGACTTCCCCATAGGTACAAGTTCCCCACAAGTAAAAGTATATATAGAATGAACACGGCTATTTATCCATAATATCAATTGAGTCCATACAGACAGATGGTTAAGACCGCAACTGTATTCTCTCCCTTTTGAAGAGCATAAACTATAATAAAATGCTAAATCTCTGTATGGTTCTATATCAGATACAAGTACGATGAACCTTGCTTTTGTACCTTTTGAGTAATATCAGAATTCAGATTTCATTGACATACAGGAAAGGGGTCAGCCTTTAGTCCCCTCTTGGTGATAACAGAAGGGGACTAATAACAACAATTTATTCTAATTTCAATTCTCAGGTTTATTACTTTTCATTAAACCAGGCAAGCTAAGATACATGTTATACTAGCTCTGAATGTATTTACACAACATTGCTAAACATTACACAATATATTAATTAATAAATTTTGGAATGTGCAGTCATATGTTACACAAGTCCCAGGAGCTTCAATTCATGGAAACTTTTGGGGAAACAATCAAAATATCACAATTGGTTTAATTTATCACTGCTGGGTAAGTGTCATGGTTTTGTTTGAAGCCAAAACAACTAGATGTAACATTTTCCTTCTTCAACACAATGTTCTTGGCAGGGGATTCAACTGAAGTGGTAACTCAGACTACCCCTCTAAAATAGTCCAATTATATGTAGTCACAAGTGTTCATATTGGTGCCTATACAGTTATGATCACTACATCTGGAAACTGGAGATTCCCACAATCTTCATTTGCTTGACAGTGACACATGTCCACCTTAAAAAATGTAACAACAATTATATGATTCGTGCAATAATTTGCAAAAAAATGTTTATCTTATTTGTCTCTTCTTACATTCATAATGCAGAGCACTAGATTTGTGTGTCTGTCATACAAAATGACTTTCAATAACACTATTTAATTTTTGAATATATTTGAAATACAATTTCTTTAATAAATACTCATATTAATACCGACTTCCTTTTTGTGATATTTTTTCTATCACATATGTTCAGACAGTATACAATTAATTTGTTTAGATGGCATACAATTTAAATGTATAATTATTTATTGGCTACAAATAAATGTAAATTATGGTTAGTTTAATAACCAATATGAATGTTTCAAAGATTATCCCTTCAAACTTTAAAAACAGCCTGCCAATTAAGCAGATCTTAGCAATATTAAAGGCACACTAAACAGAAAATAAGGTCAATCAAAGGGTAGGGAAATATTTTTGTACATATTTAAATTATTTGGTGGGGATACAATCACTTCACAGCTGTGCTTTGCTATTGAATATTTTCATTTGTTTCAATCTTGAATAATCAAAATGTAAACAATGTTCATAAGGATGAACTGTATTGTTAATTTTGCATAAATACTGAGGTCTTGTTCAAGGCAACATAATTGTAAATTTTGCAGTTCCTTGTTATGCCCTGTAGGATTGATTTGTACAACCTTAAAACACCATACTATGATATTTCATGTAAGTGATCATTTTCAGCATAGGAAAAAGAATGTCATAGGCAGAATCTTAATGCCAATTGACAGAAAATTTTGCAGTATGTTCTTAACTGACACTATAATAAATTGTGAGCATGCACTGACACTCTTTTATTTTAGGCGGTACGTACTATATATGAACAAGTCTTGGACTATTTCAGTATGTAGATTAGAAATGCAAACTAAACAATTTCAGTTTCAAGCCTTTTCCTAGACATATTTCAGGACAGGTTAGGAAATTTTGCATCTTAATTGGGAAAAATATTCAGTACCATGTACAAAGTTGTTAATCCAACAAATTGTATACCATTCAAAGCATAAAAAATACATAAAAAATGACAATAAATGTGTTTTTGAACATCCTATGTCTGGTACCATATTGGATTGAAATGGAATGAAGACAAATTGTCAGCTTTGATAACGGGAATTTTGACTCGATTATGATTTTTTCTAAACTTGGAAAAAATAAGCATATCTGGCATTATTTGTCACTGGGAATGGGTCTGGTAATCTGGTAATCTGGCCCGTGGTGACACTGGTAAAAAGACAAATGTTTTCATGAATAATTTCCGGAAAACAGTTTGATTTGATGAAATATACATCGATATCATACAACCTGTACGAAATTTTACTCCTGTAATTTTGCCTAAAATACACCTGTTTTTTTGTTAAAAATTACAGCTGTATTTTTCTTCAGTTTTGATAAACATATAGCAAATTACACCTGTTTTTTTCAAAAATACACCTGTTTTACACCTGTACTATGAACGAAATATGTAAATTAACTGTTTTTTTTTCTACGGGTCAAAAATACAGTTGTACTGTTTTACAGCTGTTTAAAATACAGGTGTAAAATTTTACAGGTCTGAAAATACAGGTGTAAAATTTTTTCAGCTCAAAAATACAGGTGTAAAATTGTACAGGTCAAAAATAAAATACCTTATTGTTTAAGGGATGAAAACCACACATAAATGCAAACATATTTGGCATGTTTGGTGCAAATATCTTTTTCATTGGGATAAATACACTTTGGTCAGAAATTTTGTGCATTTGTTGCTACTCAATCTTTAAAAATAAGAAATGGTTGAGGAGAAAATATCTTTTTACAAGATTAAGGTACAAATAGCAGACATTATACAATCACAATAGTTCACAATGGCACTCTGTGCTAAGGTGAGCGGAAATATCACTGAACTAGAATCACTATTACTAAAGATGGGGATAAATATAACAAATTTTCACTTTGTCTTAAATGGATTACTATATTTTATTACATTCTGTTACAGTCTTACACTACTGATACTGCATCAATAAAATCCAAGTCATGAATAACACTGCAGGCATATCCTTTCATTTGAAGAAAACTTTAAATGCTAATAAAGGTTTTTTTCTTGTAAAAATTTATTGCCAGTATTTTCCAAATTAATGTCTACATATATAGGTACTTGGAATAAAGCCTTTGCAAGTGTTTTCTCTTCTTAACTGGTCCCTGTCATTGTGATTTAAGATCCTGTTTAAAGCAGCTTCACCTGAATCAAATAAAACATCAATAGTTTATCATTAAATGAATACTAAATGATAATCATGTAACTTTCAATGCTTGCATTTTGTACTAATGTCATCAATGCACATATTCAGTGCCTGACCAATTCATTTTTTTAAATACGTACCAATTAACTTCAACCTATATAATTATGTTTTGACAATTAATGAATACATGTATTAATTTTCCTACTTAATGCATTGCCTGATAAAAGATATTTACTGAGCTGTTTCTATTAGTGGTAAACTGGTAACTTAACTTTAATAATTAAGGTAGACTTATTTTGTTTAACCATGAATTTCTGTCAAAACTATTCTAATTAGTTCAACTACAATTTCGTTTTACCATGTCTGTTTTAGTCCTTTGCTTTGTTTCATGTAGATCAACGTCTCTGGGGGGTGTACTGTGACCTTTAAGAACAAAATTCATAGTTCATTATAAAATATATGAAAATAAATTATGACCTATTAATTAGAAGTTAAGTATAAATGTATTTAATATCATCTCTTCAAGACTGTATTCAAAAATATAAAGCAGTTAACAGTCAATATTGTAGTATCTAATTAAATGCTATTGGTGACAAAATTTACATTTAAAAATTATTTTCCAACTGGGTAAATAGAAATTTGTAAAATATTATTTTTTTTCAGAATAAAGTTGATAAAAATAATTGCTAGCAGACCTGAAATAATACTTGTTTTTTGCATAAATGTATCCAAAGGTCATTACCTGATTTTTTATGATTCTGGTTTTCATCTTCTTGTCCAAGATTCAAATTTCATTTGCAACCAGCATATCCCATAATCCAGAATATTGTCATTTTCATTAACAAGACTGTAGCCTTGATTTTTTTCTTTGAAAAGTTTAAGAATTTACACCCAAACATTTTATACAAAATATTGCCTAGAAAATTGCTTATATCTCCACAATTTCTTAATTATCAATAAGATCCTTTGTGATACATGAGCACTATTTCCACAAATACCTCAGATTTCAAATTTTACAACTGTAGAACTGGACTGATTCATCATGCATATAAATGTTAAACAGGGATATTCCACAAATCAAAGCACCCTTCATTTTACTTTCACAATCATATAGACATATGAGAAAAAAAAAGTGTAATGTAGAATTTCAAATTCATAATAAGTTTTTAAAGATAACTTTGCAATTTCCTTCTAAACAGACTTCATTTAAAATTTATAAAGTTGTTTCCCCCCAGAAAAAATCAAATGGAAGAGTCTGGACTGTAGCAGAATTTATGGTGGGAAAACAGGTGGTTACCATTATCAGACTGGTCAGTGCAAGGTGTAAAATCAGTCAGTTGTGTAAAATCATTGTAGAGTAGTAGAGGCAGTGTTTATTTATTTATCCTACTTAACAGGTCATTTATATTACAAACTAGATTGAGAGAGCTTAATGTATGAGTTTATTTCATACACAATTAACTTTACAGAGTGAAGAATAACTCATAATGTCTGCAAATTTGGAGTCTTGAATAAGAACATGTACCAGTTTGTTGTTGTTATAGTTTTTGTTGTTGTTCTTTTTATACTTAAAAGAACAACAAGGACAGGCCTATGTGAACTATCTCATATATTTTAAAACTAAATAATCATATACAATGTACATGTATATTCAAATTTAGATAGCATTCTTAGTTCAAAGTTGCTTACATTATGAATGTTAAAAATTAAATCCTAAGTGTAAATAATGTGCATGCAATCTGTACAATTGCATCAAAGATATTAAAGTATTTAAATAAGAACAATTTCTCTAAAAGATTTTCTAAGTGTGTATTGTACATCTGTATCATTGAAAATACAGTTGTAGTTTTGGACTTTTAGATTATTTTCAGCACAAAATATCAGCTCAATATTTCCTAAGTATCAGAATTACATGTGTACATCTAAAACACAGGTCTTGTCTCAAAAATACACCTGTAAAATTGTTAAAATACACCTGTATTTCATAGTCAAAATGTCAAATTCAGCAAACACAGGTTCATAAGACCTGTATTTTTACAAAAACAGGTGTTTTTCAGTCCTTTTACAGTTGTAAAACAGGAGTTTTTTTTTCGTACGGGGCTCAGCACCTGCTGTTTGTGATCATCTTCTTGTCTAAATTCTTTAATCTTATTTTTTTTTCTAGCTACATGTACCAGCCTTTCCAAGTAAAAATTGGAGTAAATGATCTTTTATTTCCCTGAAAATATCATTTTAGAGATTTCATCTTCAAAATTATCTAATACTACTCTCTTAATGTATATATGTATGTGTACACAATAATAAGATTGTGTACAGCATGTAATGACATAAAATTTTAAAATTTATGATAATAATATTTCTTCATATTACTCCCCAATATTACCACTAAAATAGAAAATGTTCTTATCATTTTATTATGATATTTATTTATTACATATAGATATGTGAATAAAATGTGAATATCAGTATTATCAAAAATTGTTAAATGTCTGATTTACAGTTACACTGATTACATTACTTCAACCATGTAGTGAGAACAGGTATAGATCATTTCCAACAGCCTTTCTGTTGTGTTGACATTTTCGCAACATGGTGTGTCTGCCTTGTAATCAAGAGGTCTTGGGTTCCAATCCCTTTCAGTGCCTGAAGATTTTTCAGGTTAACAATTATCATGCTGGCAGTGATTTTTTTTTCAATTTTCAAAACAACCTGTGGCTTTCTGAAGGGGAAAATATAGCTTGATAAATCATTAAGGGGAAAATCAAATTCCAACCACTGAGAATGGAATTTACCCATACATTTAAAAGATTCTATTCTAATTCAATTTAAAGGGATTCCACTGAGGTATTTTGACATGATGGCACTGAAAATATTTTTTTTCAGATAAATCAGTAACCATTTTATGTAAGTTTAGACCACTAATCTTTGTGCAAACTTTCAGATCATTCAAGCACTTCGATTTTCAAGAACAATTATTCAAATTGTAAAAAAGTTATGCAAAATGAAAAGCTTTTAAACACTTTTCACTCAAATCCGGCTAAAAAAGCATATGAATATGTTCAATTTATTTCAAAGTAAATTTCTTAACTATCTTTGCATAAATTTTTGTTTAAAGTGTCCCAGCTCATTTATGTTTTTAGGCTTTTATAAAGCTCAGTGGAGTTCCTTTAACATGCATGGTAATAGCAGAGGCTATCTATATGGACAGCTTTCTGTCTTCTAGCTGATGTTAAGTTATCCTCCTGTGAAGAATGTGTACAGGGGTTTTAGGGGAAAATATTAGCATTTTCAGGGGAAAATATACCTATTTTGGGCTACTGGTTAAACAAAAAATGACAATAATGCTCGTTTGTCATTTGTGGGTATGAAGAATCAATTAGCAATCAATAAGAGTTTAGTCAGAAATAATAGGACAGTGCTTCTACCTCTAATATTGTCTCAATTACACACGACCTGCAGTATTTGCAGGGGCTAAACTTAACAGCTAAATGGCTCATATTGAGGGTTACCGGTAAATCATTTTTTTTCTAATTTTTCATAGAATTCCTTTATTCATTGAATAAGTTTATAACTAAATGAATGTATAAACATGAAGATAAAATAAAATTATTCTGAAATATTTGAGAATGTGCGCCCCATTTGGTAGCGACGTTACGGCCGTGGCAAGACCAACAAATTGTAGATGCCAGTTTTCCCTGTAAAGGCAGACATCTGTGTAAAATCAATTTGTAAAATCTGCCGGTAATGCAGTCTAAAAATTGAGACTAGGCTACAGTAGGGTCGAAATGTCTTGGGAACGAAAGATTTGAGATCTCCCAAATTACTTCGAAATTATATACGAAAGTTTTAGTCCTCGGAACGAACTGACATCAATAAATAAACTTACTGGTATAATTCATCAAAATCATAACATATTTTGCTTTAAAACTTACCTTATGAGCTAAACAGGTCGATATGCTTGTCAAGTAGGTCATAAAGTAAACCGGAAGTTGTCGAATTCATAATAATGAGCCGTGTCACGACAAAACCAACATAGTGCGTGTGCGACCAGCATGGATCCAGACCAGCCTGCGCTTCCGCGCAGTCTGATCAGGATCCATGCTGTTCGCTATCAGTTTCTCTACTTGAAATAGAGTTGGTAAGCGAACAGCATAGATCCTGATCAGACTGCGCGGAAGCGCAGGCTGGTCTGGATTCATGCTGGTCGCAAACCCATTATGAGTCAGGTTCCCACGGTCAGGGAAAAGTCAGGGAAAAATGATTTTTTTTCAAGGTCAGGGAAAAGTCAGGGAATTTTGAAATTGGTCAGGGAAATTTGAAAAATAAGCAAAAGTCAGGGAAAAGTCAGGGAATTGTGTAGAAAATAATGTTTTTGTGAAACAGCAAGAAGCAAAATCAGTAAAAGCTAAGGCAGTTTCTTCCATCATTTTGGGTATCTTTATTGTTATTTTTGATTATGAGCATCTGTTTTATTTTTATATTTTTTTACTCTTAAAATGATTATGCTTCTGCCTGAAGATTCTGGATATTTTTGTCATTATTAGTAACTATCTTATTAAGAAAAAAGCTAAAAGGAGTTTAAGCATCCCTTGTCTCCTGAGCTATTTATGGTTTGTTCGTGTGAAAGAGGCTGATAATCTGCTCAGGAGGCTGAAAAATATGAAAATGAACTTGCTTGTGAAGTAAAATGCCAAGTGCAATGCCTTCAGGGTCAAGGTCAAAGAAAAGTAATAAAAGAATCAAGTAAAGATATTGAGAAACTTGAGAAAAACACTTAGTGGACTTCGATTAAGTACCAGTAATTTTAGTGCCATGTTGTGTTTTTGCACACATGCATTAAACCATAACTTTGAAATACTAACTGCCATAGCTAGTTTTATTAGTAGTATTACAAGCTTTTACTGCATTTTGCTTTTAATGTAGCCACTTCATTACCTGTCTTATTGTTTCTTGTCCAACACCAGTTTTCCATTGATAACTATCATATATTTTATTAAAATACAGGCCTGTTTTAGTCAATCCTGCATTGATTACACTGCTTTGCATTTGTAAGAGAATGAAACATCTTTCAGCATAACATGTACTATCAAATACTTTACATTTTGGATAAATTTACTCATACTTGTTGAATGTAAATAAGACAAGTTGCTTATGACAATTGCTCACTAATATTCATGTATTTTTTATCTTGAATAATTTAAAATAAAGAATTGGAGAAAATAGGTTGGCTTTTTGGGGAGGAGGAGGTCGAAATACATGTATAAAAAATACATTTAATGCTCTAAGATTGTGCAGACTTGACGCTGTTATTGGTCAGGGAAAAATGGTTTTGGTCAGGGAAAAGTCATGGAAAAGTCAGGGAATTTTGATTTCTCTTCTTTGTGGGAACCCTGTATGTTGGTTTTGTCACGGCTCATTATTATGTACCAATTACCATTCCATTCATAGAATTAATCGACCTTTCAAATTATATCTGCTACATTTCTAATCCGTAATTCAAGCTCAATTGCACACGATTTACAAAAAAAAAATTCTTATCTCTCTTCTATTTGCAATAAATCAAAGTTTATAGAAATACAGAGCACTTTTTTCACTCGCGGCGGTTATGCGTCAGTCATGGTCTGATGAACACTATGAATTCAACTTACTTTAAAAATGTTAGAATACAATATATTATAGAATATAGAGTGGTGATGAAACGTCACTGCAGTGGGCGTTACCCTGTATGGTTGGAAATTTCGGGTGAGTAAGTACACTAATTGGGACTACGTCCCAAACTGCTAACACACCGTATTACCGGCGGCAGTGATGTTAGATCACTGCAGTGATGGCAGATATCTGAAAATTAACGATCGATACAGGTAGGTTATAAATTTGGTAGGTTTAATTTGTCACACAAATACGGTCCATTTCATTGCTATAAAACTATTGTCCATTGAATTGAGATACTGTAAGGTAATTTTGGACTCGTTTTTTTCCTGTTTTAAGACTATTTGAGCAGGTTAAAAGTGACAACCTCGGAAAAATCCGTGAAAATGTCTGTTTTCTGTTCAAAATATCTCAAGTTTTAAGTAATGGCAGTATTTCCTGTTATCAATATAGACGTTCATCCATTGGGGTCACGCAAGCCAAATATCTACCCCGTGAGTCTTTTCTTGAAAGTTTTACACACGCTCAATCTTGTCAAGTCGAAGAAAAAATGCTGCCGTTGTAGGCAGATACATATTATAAATGCTGCCGTCGATGGCAGAAATACCATGAAAGTGGCTAACATTCTGACAGAAAATCAAGTTCAATCTTTTATCAATTCCTCTTTTCTTTGCGTCCTTTTAGTCGGAATTGAAACGTTAAACTATCATTTCTAATATTTTCTCAATATAAAAAAGTTATTAATGCGGTTTATTACATGTTTTGCAGTAGATTACTGAATTATAACGGTTAATTATATTCTGATAATTTCACAGTAATGATTACCAAATTTAATTTCACAGTAGCCGAACTATATTTGGCGTAAAAATAAAATATTTATCATTAATGAATGTTTTTTTTCAGCGGAAATGTAGTCAATCATAATAAAAATGTACGTGATAACTGTAGTTCGTAATATATTTACGAACGTTGTGCTGAAAAACATCTAAAATCTAAAAATAATCATGGAAT